ATAACTCATTGTTTACAATTCATATTTTAGCAGTTTGGATATTTATGTCAGTTATAGACTGTTGGCTTGGTGTGATGACAATAACTAATATTTATTGTGTGCTTACTCTGTAGGTATTGTACTATGAGCTCTACATGCATTTCATCATCACAGCCCAGCCCTGTGAGAGAGATCCAATTATCTCTTTTTTAGAAATACAGAAATTGAGATGTAGAAAGATTTAAATCATTTGCTTAGTCATTTATTCATTCTTTAGGCATGTATTTGTTTACACAGTATTTATAGCTTCAATTGTTACTCTAACTTACCCACACTCACACAGCTAGAAAGTAACAGACTTGGGAGTTCCAGCTCTGATCTAATAACTGTAAAAATCAAAAGCGTTTCACTCTTCTGTTACGTTGCACCTTCTGATCTGGGTAAGAGGCATGTTTACATCATTTTCAAGTGAGAGACTGCAATGAGCTATTCAAAATTTATTTTTTAGATTTGTATTCTCTTTTTTGTTATGCCATATCCTTTGATGTTATGTCTTTTTCGATATGATATGATATATGATATGATATGATATGATATGATATGATATGATATATTCCAAGGACATAACATATGTATTCAAACATCAAATGCTATTTTTTTCCCTTGAGTTAAGATCAATGTGATTTTTCAAAATGGGTTGTCATTTGTCAATAGCACCTGTTAGACCTGTATTCCTTGTTTAGTTAAAGCCTTAAGCAAGAGCCAAAATGACTGTTTTCCTGAGCAAAATAGGAAACTTAGGTGCTATTTTTTGAATTGGAAATGAACTGGGAAAGAAGAAAACCTGGGAGTTTTATCGTTGTTGTTTTTTGTTTTTCATATAATCTGGTTTGAACCAAATACAAACTGTAGCAACTTCAATCACAGCTAAACTCAAACTGGAATTAAATTTGAAACAAATGATAAGGGCTCTTTCTTCATCACTAATACTGGTTTTGCAGTTCTCTAATAAAGAGAGGAGTGAAGGGCAGCCTGGGTGCCTCAGTTAGTTGAGTGTCCGACTCTTGATTTCAGCTCAGGTCATGATCTTATGGTTCTTGAGATCCATAGAGCCCTGCTCCAGGCTTTCAGCAGAGAGGGTGGAGCCTGCATGGGATTCTCTCTCTCCCTCTGTCTCTGCCCCTCCCCTGCTCCCTTTGCATGCTCTCTCTCAAAATAAATAAATAAACTTTTTAAAAAAGAAAGAGAAAAGTGAAAAACTTAACTTTTAAAAAACTTTCTGGATACCAGAGTACTTTATAACTCTTCTAATGACTGAAACCAGGGTGAGGAGAAAGGTTGGAAGCCAGAGAAAGGAAAGTAGTTGAATCAGACCCAAGTTACAAAGTTCTTTCTTCACAAATCCCCAGTATTTCTATTCTGGACACTACTCAGAAAAATCTTATGGTGGCCCATCAGGTGTGCAAATTTAAAATGGGATGGGGTAGGAAGTGCCGTGTAAGTTCTATGCATATCATAGATAAAACTGAGCAGAAATTTAACCTTATAATGAATTTTAAAGTCAAAGGTATTCTGTAAACAGGGCAATCATATGTGTTATTTTGACTCAGACTTGTAACATGTGTAGAATACTGAGTTTTTAATCATTTTTTAAATATTCCAAACTGTTTTTTTTCCTAAATTCTTTAAGAATAGGGAAAAAATGCTGGGGATTCTCACATAACGTAACAAATTTTAGAGTGCTTACCTTCTGCATCGAGTTTTTAATCCCACCATCAGACTTAACCTTCAACCAAATAATCTTGCTTAAAAACTATATTTACTGCTACAACTTTTACAACTGCTGGGTTTAAGTGTCAGATGAAGCTTAATAAAACCACTGATTGCTTCCCTTTCTGGCTTATAGGAGATAATCGACCCAGTGTGATATACCAAGGGATCCATTATTTTAAAATGTTGTTTCTCTTTTTGAGACTTGGATATGCAAACTGGATATTTTACAAACCTGAAAAACCACAGTATTTTATTTTTGTTTCCGTGTTCAACTATTAACTCCATATTTATTTCATCTTTTTTTTTTCACTTTAATGAAATGCACTTCTTTAGAAGTAGGTGGGTGATAAATCAAGAAATTTTCAGCTTATCTGACAAACTTCAGGTACCTTGCAAATTACCCTGTTGTCCCAAATCAAGGCATTTCAGGTTTGCTTTAAATCCTTATAAAGATAGGAGTGCCTGGGTAGCTCAGGCTCAGGTCATGGTCTCAAGGTTCATGGGTTCTAGCCCCCCATCGGGCTCCGTGCTTAGGGCTCTGTGCTGACAGCTTGGAGCCTGGAGCCTGCTGCAGATTCTGTGTCTCTGGCTCTCTCTGACCCTCCCCCGCTCACGCTCGCTAGCGTGTTTTCTCTTTCTCTCTCTCTCTCTCAAAAATAAACATTAAAAAAAAATTAAAAAAATAATTCCAGATAAATAACATCTATTTTAGAAATTAGATCAGAATAATTTGATTCCTTTTTTTTTTTTTAAAGCACAGTAGCATCTTAGTTTTCATGAGAAATGGATTGATTACTTACTAGCTTTGAATAACAAAATTTCTATCTATGCAGTGCCTGGGAATTTTCCACCTTGGTGTGCATATTTTTTAATTATATATATATATATATATATATATATATATATAAATTTTTTTTAAGAAAAGTTTTAGGTTTACGGCAAAACTAAGCAGAAAGCATTGAGTTCCCATGTGCTCCTTGCCTCCCAGAGTTCACCAACCACAACTTCCCCCCGTTATCAACATTCCCATCAGTGTTGTACATTTGTTACAATGTAAACTGACACATTATCATCACCCAGAGTCTATGGCATCATGTTCTAACAATGTATGATTCTTTCAAACAATGTAAAAATTCTTTCTTTGAAAGATAGTTACTATCTTTGTATCTCGATTTGGAGTGTTTAAGTTCAGATGCTTTTACTTGTATGAAAACTCAGTTTTCTGTTCTTTAAAATTGGCATGATAATCATTCCTACTTTATGCATTTGGTGTGAGATTTCAAATTTTTTTAAATGTTTTTTTTATTTTTGAGACAGAGACAGAGCATGAACGGGGGAGGGTCAGAGAGAGGGAGACACAGAATCCGAAGCAGGCTCCAGGCTCTGAGCTGTCAGCACAGAGCCCGATTTGGGGCTCGAACTCACTGACCTTGAGATCATGACCTGAGCCGAAGTCTGAAGCTCAACCGACTGAGCTACCCAGGTGCCCCTGGTGTGAGATTTCAAATGATACATTGCATATACGGTGTAGCATATAACGTGGATGCTGGGCCTTTACAATGCTGGTGATTATTGCTTAAAAGTACATTTATATGGGGGCATCTGGGTGGTTCAGTTGGTTAAGCATCCAACTTCAGCTCAGGTCATGATCTTGTGGTTCGTGAGTTCGAACTCCACATCGGGCTCTGTGTGGACACTGAGAGCCTGGAGCCTGCTTCAGATTCTGTGTCTCCCTCTCTCTCTACCCCTCCCCCGCTCACAGTCTGTGTCTGTCTCTCTCAAAAATAAATAAACATTAAAAAAATTTTTTTAAGTGCATTTATATATCTAAACAATTTTTAATTCATCTTTTTCTGTATTCACTTTAATCAAACCAATGCATGTATTTATAAATAAGCTAGAAATTATCTCACTTTACAAATTAATTTGTTGTAGTATTTCTGCAGTTACTAAGCTTCTCTATAAAATACTGATGAAATCTGCATAAAATGTAATTTTCATGACTTCCAGGAAAACACTTATAATTTGGAGAATTCATTCATATGTTTTGTAAACCAGTATTTGTATTTACATTAAAGACTTATATGAACAAATGCTAGAAATCAAAGTTAAAAGAAATGAAAGCTTTGAGTGCCATTAAAACTAGATTCTAATGTTGGAAGTAAACATTATAAAATAAAAAAATTATTATAGAATAAAAAATTGTAGCTTTGTAGATACCAGGATGCTCATCTTAAAAATGTCTTGTGAAGCTCTAACTACATTGTGACTGCATTTCAGTTTTTTTTCCCTCTAAATGTGGGCAAAATGACCATTGCTTATAGTGTTAAAATTCTGCTTGGGAGTTAGTCAGGATCTTGATAATAACCCAGAAAAAAGTCAGGATGCTGCACATCTGCCAACTGTCAATGGGCCAACTGCCTTGGACTAGGTCACTGAATATAATAATGTTTAGGATTCGGGAGTTTTAAATAAATGCTCTTATGGATCATATTTTATGGTGTTACTTTTACTTGTGTGGCTATGTATAGTGTATATACACACACGGGTAATTTAATTCTACAGAATAACTAGAGCATGGTAAGCTTTTGGTTCTGTTTTTATCTTGGATTTTGATGATAGGTTGATTCCTTTTGCTTTTTAGTACTCTAATTTTTTCTCTGTGTTTTACTTCTTTCCAACATGAACTGCTCATCTTTTAATTTCATCTTCTTTTAATTTTCAAACTTAAAAAATTTAAATTTGGGACTAATTATATATACTTAAGTGTTTAAGTAACTTATAAAGGCAGATCTTGTTCCAAGCTGTCTTGGGCTAATTTTTATTCTTCTCTTCTATGAAGAATTCCTTCATTCATCAACAAATAATTATTAGACTCCTGTTAAGTATCAAGTACTGCTCTGGGCATGAGGGATATAGCAGTAAACAAAAAACTCTGTCCTGGAAGAAGTTTACCTTCTGATTCCAATGATTGAATATGGCTCTGATGAGTTTGATAAGGCTGAAGATATAACTTTTGCTTATCTGTGAATACAATTTTATAAAGTAGCCGTGAAGCATGCTAATGGAGGTTACAAAAATACTTACTTGAGCTCCCATTCCTACTCATGTAAGTAAAAGTGTAGTATTTTAGAAAATGACTAATATTTAAACCATCACGGGTTTGTTTTTTTCAAATCTGCCCTTTGTTAACCCTTGTTAACAGCTCATTTCAGTCAGACTTTGTTCTTTTATTCTGATCTTTCTTTTCCAGAAACTGGCAGACCTTTCTCTTCGTATCCAGCAAATTGAAACAACTCTAAATATTTTAGATGCAAAGGTTTGTATTTCTGAATAATTTATAGTATAAATTTTCTGCATATACCAACTTTCTCAGTCATACTTAACTTTAATTGAATTGGGATGAATTCAGTTTAGCTCCTGCATCCATGAGGTGGTACAGTGTTTTGTGTTTGTTTTTAATTCATTATAATTGCAAAGGAAATGATACTTATTATGAACCATTACCTGAGTCTGTTTAAATATACACATGAATTGAAATTTCTTTCATTATTCTAGCCAACAGCATGTGAATAACATGTTAACAAATTGGGCTGGTTCTATATAGTTCATTTGATGGAAAATTCACAATTATCTCAATAGTAATCATTTGATAACACAGTACAAATTAATAAAAGTTCACATGTCTCCAGAGCAAAATTTGGAGAAAATATCACTATTTTCTGTATTCAAATATATTGAATGCTAATGAAGAATACCAGTTTTGAGGTCAGAAATTACACAATAGAACTAACAAAAATAGAGTGTTTTGATTTGAAAATGTGCAGGTTTTGTGTTTTCCCTGATTATGAAATACTGGAGACATGAGTATATTTTTGTGACTTTGTCCTTTTTCAAAAAAAATTGATCTGAAAAAATGCTTATTGAATATTTATGAGGAAGTAAAATGGCTGACATCTTTAGCATAAGGATTAGAATGTCTAGTTCGTACTTTCTACATCTTGTGGACTTCAGCCACTATATTTCTCTCAGCACGTTTCTGTAGCTTGGAAAATTTAGGATACCTGGCCTTGACCATGTTCAAGGTACTCTCCTAGCAGCCATACCTACTTATAACTATTTGGGCCATAACCACTATGCTAAGTATTGTCATCAGTCAGCAGTTCTCAGTGAATATTGCTGCTTCAGACCTTATTACCATTGTTTTTTTTTCATTATCCTTCATTATGAGTATGTGTCTAATTTTAATGTTTGGGCAATTCTTGAGTTAGAATCCATGGTCACAAGTTAAGTTACTGTGTAGATAAGTTAACTTTAATCATTTCCATAACCTTAATTATTTCCATAACCATAAAATTAATCCCTAAAGTCAGCCAAACATGTGACAAATATCTATCACTGATATCAGAAAGAAATCAGAAAAGTGGGTTGGCGTGGATCTTGCAGATCCAACCTGAAATATATAACTACTGACAACATACCTACCTTTTGTATATGAAAAATAACACATTTTAGTAACATTTGGTGATAAATGTTTAAAGAAAGAAAAAAAAGGGCTGTCAGTCATTAAAATGTGATGACAAGAGTTTTATCATTTCCCAGATCGTTCAAATTTAAAATGTGCTGCAAAGGACTTTTTTTGTGTGATTGTGTGTGTGTGTGTGTTGTTTTGTTGTTACAAAGCATGTTTAATAAAAATCTTTTTACAATAACTTTGTGAGGTAAGTTTTCTTATCCCTACTTTACAGGGGAGAAAACTGAGGTCTAGGGAGATTTACAGAAGGTCACATAGTATGACTTAAACCTACACAATCTGACTCCAAAGCCCTTGCTTTTTATTCCTTGCACTAGGATTCCTTACATTTTTTAAAAATAATTCCCAGGAAAAGAAGGGCTATAAGCTAAGTTATATTAATGATAAATTATACATAAATATTTTACTTGTGCATGACTTTCACTTTTAAATAGTTTATGGCATGGAGAATTTCAGACACCAAAGATGAGATTTTACAAACCCTATTTCTATAGGCTTAAAAACTTAAGATTGCTATTTAAAACACATACACCTATGGGGCGCCTGGGTGGCGCAGTCGGTTAAGCGTCCGACTTCAGCCAGGTCACGATCTCGCGGTCCGTGAGTTCGAGCCCGGCGTCGGGCTCTGGGCTGATGGCTCAGAGCCTGGAGCCTGTTTCTGATTCTGTGTCTCCCTCTCTCTCTGCCCCTCCCCCGTTCATGCTCTGTCTCTCTCTGTCCCCAAAATAAATAAACGTTGAAAAAACCAAAAAGACATTATAAAACACATACACCTAGAAATTTACGGTGTTTAAGCAGCTAATCTTATCCTCATATACCAACATTAATTTTCTTTTCTCAGTTGTCATCTATCCCAGGCCTAGATGATGTTGCATTTGAAGTTTCTACTGTAAGCGCCACTGGTATCACAAATGAATCACATTCTGAAACCACTGCAGAGAAATCACAGGTAAGTATTTGAGTTCCAGGAAACACAAGCAGATTGTCTTGGTTAAGCCAGATAAACCTAGTAGCAGGTTTGAAGGAAGAAGTTAAATGAAGATGTAAAACTTTGAATAGTAAGATTTTAAACCCCTTAAGATTGAAAATGAGGTTTGAAAAGAAGTGAGCTGTTTTATTGTTATTTTGAAGGGCTCCCTGAAGTTAATATTTTCCTTGCCTATGAAAGAGAAACTATTTATAGGACTAGAAAAAATCTCGAGCATAATAATATTCTTCAAGTTCATTGTGGACATTTTCCCTACATTATTATAATAATTGTACTTTTAAGATGTTTTATTATAAAACCTTTCAAACACACACAATAATAGAATAGTACAGTGAATACTTAAATGTCCATTACCCACCCTGATTCTCCAGTAAAGATTTTGTTACATTTGCTTCATCTATCTTTTTTGTCACTTGCTACAGTGAATCCTGGGCATCATACCATTTCACCACTGTGTAACTCCTTGAGCATCTCTGGAAAGTTCTGGCATTTTCTTGTATAACCACAATGTCTTTATCATACACAGTAGAATTAACAGTAATTCCCAAGTACCATCTAACCCCTTGTTACTCCAGGTATGCTCCCGGCACCAGCAGCATGGGCATCACCTGGGGGACTTGTCAGCAACACGGACTCTCAGGCTCCATCCCAGACCCGTTGAATCAGAATCTGTAGCATAATAAGATCCCCAGAGGATTTGTAGTCGCTCTCAAAATTTGAGAGATACTGATCTATAGATACCACATATCTAAAAAGTATGGGTTTGGAGTTGATTTGTTCAAATCAGCATCCTAGTAAGGTCCACACTTTGCATTTGGTTCTTATGTCTTAATGTTCTTTTATGCTCTGTATACATTTCAGTTTTATATTACTTTTTATTTCAAGGAATAAAAATTCTCACTGCTGCAGAACAGACGATCTCTAGTGTATCTCAGTGGGGTATTAAAATTCAAAATAAAATAATCACTAAAATGGTGATCTGTCTAGTGATACTGAACAATAGACTTCTTATCTATGTGGGATTCTGCATTTGTACGTGGAGATACTTTTCACAGGATATTTTTTAGGTTATGATTACTTTGGCTGTGATGATAATGACTAACACATGGAGGGTACGTACTGTGTACCTATCAGGTGTGCTTCTGAGCGCTTTTCAGAAATTAACTCCTTTAATTCTCACAATAGCCCTATGAAGTAAAGAACTTCACTTTACACTTCTACTTTACAGATGAGTGAAATGAGGTACACAGAGGTTAAGTAACTTGCCAAGGGTCAGAAAATAAGTGTAAAATCTGGAATTTCAGTGCAGGCAGTCTGGTGCCAAGAGTCCTTACTTCTTATCTGCTAGACTACACTGTCTCCAGCACCTGTGTTGAATTCATTAAATATACTGAACACATATGGTACGAGGCTGTGGGAGGAGGCATAAATTTAGTTATAGCCCATATTTGGAGAATGAATTAGATGACCATTTACTTAACAATTAGATGTTAGAAAATTTAACATCCATTTAGTTTATATAGTAAATTTCACTATGATGACCTTTGGAATATGTATAATACACAAGAAGGAATCCAGATATGTTAGAGGAGTTTAACTTTACAAGGCCCTTTCAATTAAATATGGACCATGCTTTTTCTAAAATAAGGCATGTATAAAAAATATTAAGAAAATGTTTTCACTTTACCTAGTAGTTATTCTTTGTTGGATACTAGCTGTCATATGTTTCTGTAAAATTTTTAAGTGGTATCTGTCTAATTTTGAATATTTTTCCAGGTGTTATGAATGCTATCTACAATATGTACTTTAAAACTTTTGCAGTTGTGTTGATCCTGCCTATTTAAGGTCTCAAAAAATTGATTACAAGTAATCACAGCTAAATTTTCTAAAATTCAGAATGATTTGATACATTTTGACAATTTTATTTAAAAACCATATATTAATTCATTTGGAGAATTTATGAAGTTCTTTGGGCTTTCTGAGTTTTAAAAACTGTAGCAAAGTTGCATGTTGATTAGTTTAATAAAATACCTATTCAGCATGTTCATAATATTTAAATCAACTTCTTATTTCTTCATTGTTATTGCTATGTTTTATGTAAAATGTTTTGAAATGGACTTAAGTACTGCTTAACACAATTTCCACTGCCATTACAGTCAATTTATCTGATAAAGGATAACAATGCAATTTCTTAACCATTCATTCATTTCAGTCTCTAATCTATATGAGTCAAAGACCTAAGGTTTGCATACTGATTTTTCTGCAACTTTAATTTCATGGTTCAGATCTTATCACTACTCACAATAGAACATCCAATTGTGCAGATTGAGAATAAAATGAAGGGCAGTTGAGAGATATGATAGAGGATTTAATGGATATTTAAATAGTAAAGGTGTAAGAGCTGACATAATTAAACCTTGTTGAGATCTTGGTTATTACGCATAGTTAACAGCTGAGTTTTGAAATTCATTGGTCCCATGTGTAATTATCATTTGTTCCATTGTGCTGTTGTATGAGTTTATTGTCCATAATGTTTTTCAAAAACATACTTGGGTCATGTTTGAATTTTTTATTTAATTAAGGGTTTTGGACTTTTTGTATTTATGAATTTTAAAGATGAATAATACATATATCTACTCAGTGCCATATAACAGGAGAAACCTAAGGGATTTGGGATGTTTTTGTTTGCTTTAGAGTTTTCAACAGGTTTAATTTATATTTGAATGATCTGAGGAAAACTTAATATATAATTCACATTCATATTCTAAAAACTATGAACATTTAAAGATATTTCTTGATTTGTCTACATTTCAGCATAGATATGTAGGCATACAGTTGATTTCATTCTGTTCAGGAACTACCTTGTAAAGCTAATATATAGATAATGAGTGAGAATTCACAAAAATAAACATAACAAATGTTCAAGTTGATAGAAAAATCTAGAACTGTGTACAGACAGACCTATCTTTGCACTTCAGTGAAGACAGGATTCTAAAATGGACAATTTTCACTTAACACAGTACCACGCAAAGTGAGAACTGCCTATATGATAAAAGCATTTTTATCTAAAAAGACTGTTCCCCTATATTCTTTATTGTAAATAGTATTAACATTAATAGTTCCATCAGTACCTGAAATATATAGAACTAGATAATTTTACCATAGAAATGGGCTACTCTTCCACAAATTCTCTAGGTATTGCTTTCTAAGATGTTAAAAGAATAGACTATATCCACTTATAATAAGATTACTGAATAAATGAGGAATTCAATTCTATAGATGGTGGATACCTACAAAATCAATTCACTGTCTGCTAGTGTTGAATAACTGGCAAATCAAATAGTTTTATTAGCTTTTTTAGAAGTTTCGTTAAAATAATATGTCCATCTATAATTCATGTTCTATATCTATACTCTGGGGACAGCTAAAGCAGAATTCTAATATTTTTTAATGCTATGAATATATTTGCATTTTTAAGGAACAATATAGTGTTGATATTAAGTGGAACTTCCTCTGAAATCATATTTAATTATTTGTAAATATTTGGAAACATATATCCCATAATTAAATTATTGGTATTTAAATTTAGAAATATGATTTTTTTATATTGATTGCTTTAGATTTATAAGAAGAAACATCCCTTTTTAAGTAACATAATGGACCCCTTTTGTGAATTGTCTAAAGATTTACACGCAATACTCTCTACAGCAGAACAGTTTACAAGACTCTGGACCACAGGAAAGTGAAGTAACACCAGAAAATATCTTAACTGTAGCCAAGGACCCAAGATATGCCAGATATCTCAAAATGGTTCAAGTGGTAAGCTAATTTGGTCTGTCTTCTCTGTCTAGCAGCCTCATTTGAAATTCTTAACCCTAGAGGTTTTGTTGTTACTTTTTCTGAGAAAACTGCTAAACCGAGTGACCAAGTTTTCTACTCTTCTTTCCTATGTCTAACTAATGCCCTGATAAAAGAGTGAACAGAGGTCAAATCTTTCTAGTTAAAATTGATCTCACACTTCAAATTAACGTAGTTGGATATAGATTTATGTAAATTGTTTTGCTTTACATAAAGTTATAGCAAATCTCGGATGTATCAAAGGAATGAAAGTGGACTCTTTTTTAAATCATATGGCTTTAGCTTGATTCCTGTATGCTAGTGCAGTTTATTTTTATTCTGAATTTCATTTGTCAATGGCTTGGTCATAGAAAAGAGCCTAAATCTCTTGGCCATTCACGGTAGAGCTTCTACTATCATATGACTTCAGAATTCATGTTTTTTTCTGAGAAATCATTACATGGTATGATACCAAAAAATATCTACAGTTGTCTGTACCAGCAGAAGTTGATTTCATTTTTGTGGAAAGTCTTACTGCAGTGGTTGAAGGAGCTAGCTCTTCATCATTTTTCTGTTAATTAAAAAAAATATCATATTTATAAAATTCTATCAAGCAAAAGAGGTCATAATATTAAAGACCAGTTTTGTTTTTGATATCCATGACATTACTTATTACCAAAATAATTTAAAACCAAATACTGTCTGACATCAGAAAGAGTAGATTGTTCATTTAGAAGTAACAGAAGTGACACTGGGGAGAAGAAAGTATATTCGCTTTTCCTGGCTGTCAGAAGAAGTGGATTTATCACGTTCAAAATTCTTCATTGGCAGCCAAAAACCCTGGTCTAGACTTTAGAAAAAAATAAACCAGACTTTGAGATGCAAATATATAAAGTTCTTTAATCAGAATAAAGTAGGGCTAGTTTTGAGTGTGAATTATGATAAATATTTAAAAAAAATTTTTTTTAATATTTATTTTTGAGAGAGACACACATAGTGTGAGCAGGGGAGCAGTAATGAACTAGCAAAGAGAAGGAGGCAAAGAATCCCAAGCAGGCCCCAGGCTCCAAGCTGTCAGGACAGAGCCCTACACGGCTTGAACCCACAAAACGTGAAATCATGACTTGAGCCGAAGTCAAACGCTTAACTGACTGAGCCACCCAGGCGCCCCTGATAAATATATTTATAAAGCTAGAACCCAGTAAAGCTCTGCTAAGCTTAAAGTATGGACTGTGAAAAACTGTGTTTTACTCTTTCAAACAGAAGAGGAAAACTTTCAAGATGACTCTGGAAGGCTTTTTATTTAGTCTTTTCTTACCTAACACATATAAACTATGAAATAGGAACAACCATTTAATGATACCTATAAGAATGCCTTGAAATCTTTGATAAAAAACTACATGTTAGGATAATTTTTATATTGTTGATACATTGCTTCTGATTTTATAAGAAGTTCAAAAACTCATATTTTCCTTTTTTTTTTTAATTTTTTTTTCAACGTTTATTTTTTATTTATTTATTTATTTTTTTAATTTTTTTTTTTCAACGTTTATTTATTTTTGGGACAGCGAGAGACAGAGCATGAACGGGGGAGGGGCAGAGAGGGAGACACAGAATCGGAAACAGGCTCCAGGCTCTGAGCCATCAGTCCAGAGCCTGACGCGGGGCTCGAACTCACGGACCGCGAGATTGTGACCTGGCTGAAGTCGGATGCTTAACCCACTGCGCCACCCAGGCGCCCCTCCTTGTCAGTATAAATTCACTGTCCATTTATTCCACAATTATTTATTAAATACTCACTTTAAGGTACTATTATTAGGAATTGTCTACAGTTAGCCAGCTAAGGTTCTCAGAAATCCCTTGACATTTTTATTTTTGTTATTAATTACTTCGACAAATTTCATTGCTTTTCAGAAGCATATATATCACATGTATGTGTATATGACTTTTTTTTTAAGTTTATTTATTTTGAGAGAGAGATCGCTTGTGTGCGTGCGCGCGTGCGCACACACACACACACACACACACACACACACACACACACACACGTGTGCATGTGGGGGAGGGACAGAGAGAGAGGAAGAGAGAGAATTCCCAGGCAGGCTCTCCAGTGAAGAGCCAGACATGAGGCTCAAACTCACAAACCATGATCATGACCTGAGCCAAAACCAAGAGTCAGACACTTAACCACTTAAACAACTGAGCCACCCAGGCACCCCTGTAAATGAGTCTTTAAATATTCATTTATCTAATCTTATGGCTTACCATCTCTCTAGGAATAAAAAGCCAAAGTCCTTCACAAACCTATGAGATCCTATACAATTTAGCTCCCCTATTACTCTTTTGATCTCATATCTTCACTTACTCTGCTCCAGCCAGATGTTCCTTAAATAAATATACAGTCTCCTGTCTTAGGCCTTTTACATCAGCTCTTCTGCTGGAAACACTTTTCCACAGGTTTCTTGATAGTTTCACTACTCCACTCTTTTCAGATTTTTACTCAAGTATTACCTTCTCTCTGGCCCCATTCCTTTTACCCTTCCCTGCTGTTTTTTCTTTTTTCTTTTCTTTTTTCTTCATATAACTGGCCAGTATTTTACATACTTTGTGTCTCTTCTATCACTAAAATATAAACTCCACGAGGGTAGAGAATGTTTTGCGTATTGCACTACTCTCAGTTCCTAGAATGATACCTGGCATATAGTATTTACATATGAATGAAAATGCCTACATTTTCCTCTATGTCATTTTACCTTTTGACAGGTTTGGTGATAGATTTCTTTTTTACCCCAACTCAGTGGTTTTCAGACATGAAACATTGTCAAAACATGTTACTGATTCCCATCATATAAAAAATAATCTCTAAACTTGGGAATTGGAGCTAGAGCATATATGTATTTTGAAAATAGCTCCTCTGATTAAGAGCTATTTAAAAAATATTTTACACTATGTACAACATCAATTAAAATATTTTGAGAGACAAAATAAATTTAAATAAATAAATTTAAAATTTATTTGAAAACATTTAAGAAATAATATATTGTGAGGTTTTGTTTTTAACTAATTCTGTAGCATTGCTTGGCACTTAGCTTCAGCCTTTTACTTGGCGTCACTGAGTATGAGTAGGGGCTCAATTTCTTCTGCCTCAGACTTATCCTGGTTTTGGCCCAATTTTCCTGATTTCAGTCCTTCGCCTCTCTTTTGCTTTGGTACGGGTGCTTCTAATTCCTAAACATTTCCAAAGTTCTGGAAGTGCTACTTTGTGGTATCCCCTCTTCAGGCACATAGACTTGGCCTTCCTTTGATATGCTAAGTCATCAATCACTCTTTTATCTGCTTTTAATTTTCATGCATTATGGTTCATGTATGCCTCTTAGCCATTAAAATTAGTATTTGTGTTTTATTTCTTTTTGCCTAATTATTTGGGGGTAATTCTCAAGAAGAGGGGAGCAACATCTTTACACTGCCTTCCTAAAACTGCAAGTTCATCCAAGTTAAATTTAATTTTATTGTTTTCAGTTTATTGTGCCAACCTGAATCCCAGAATCTTATTACCCAACTTTTGTTTCCTTCTCCCTATCCTGCATTTCATTCTGCAGACAAAACCACAAACCCTTCTTAATATTAGCTCCATGCTTTTCCACCTCTGATTCTAGATTCCCCTTCTCTTGATTACTACATGTCCTAACTCTAGTAATCTGACATGTTCCTTCTGAACCCACCAACACGTAAAGCTAGAGGTAATATCTCCCTTCAGTGATCTGTCCAACCACTTAATTTTTTTATGGGATTTATCACTCCATATCTTGTTGTTTTTACACATATTTTTATTGCCCCTGTTGAAAAGGAACCATGAGAGGAACTACTGTATCTTGACTCATCTTTCTATTCACTTTAACACTTTATCCAGGAAGGCACTCAATATTCATTGTATGTACTATTTTATCCTGCATATTAACTCTCCTTTCCTGCTTTGTGTCATCTGGACACATATAGATGCATTCCCATTTCTGCAAGTTACTGATTTTAAACGTTTTATAGGACCAGATCAAGAATACAGCAACTAGAAGTTTCCCTCAAGGTTGCATGAATCTACAAATCATTCTTTGGATTATTCTCATTAAGCCATACATAAATCTATCATTTTTCCTGTTTCCTAAGAATATCATGAGTGACTGTCAAAATATCCAACCACAAATGTAGTTACATGTTTGATAGTGCCCTGGATTGTCTTTCCTTGGCACAGTCACTATCAGAGTTCCTGTCACTTCTGCATCATAATTCAGTTCTGGCTTTTTGTTTAAATTCATGTATGAAATAGCTAAATCACTTCCTTTCATTATATCCTTTATCTGTTGGAGGATGAAGTTTTCAGCAAGGTGATAGGAACTTATCAGATACTCCGATTTGAGCAAGATTAAGCTGCCGGTACATTTGGATAGCTAATGTCCCCCATGAAGCCTGTATCTTATTTTTTTTTAATTTTTTTTTAAATTTTAATGTTTTATTTATTTGAGAGAGAGAGAGAGAGGGAGAGAGAATGAATGAGCGGGGAAGGGGCAGAGAGAGAGGGAGACACAGACTCTGAAGCAGGCTCCAAGCTCTGAGCTGTCAGCACAGAGCCTGATGCAGGGCTCAAACTCACAAACCATGAGATCATGACGTGAGCTGAAGTCGGATGCTTGACCGACTGAGCCACCCAGGCGCCCCAAGGCTGTATCTTATGCTTGTACTTGTTCGCAACATATTTTATGAAAGCCTGATCTAAATCCTCCATCAGGTCAGGTGATCAAACTCCTTTTTATAATACAACTATTGCCTTCTTTTAGCCTCACTTGGCTGGTGGGGGTGGGGGGATCCTTTATCCCACGTTTAAGAATCTCCATATATGTGTATATATATTGATTTATAGGTATCTTCCACGTTCTGTTGTAAAACATTCTAATATATTCCTTTCAAATGCCAGCTCCCATTCATGAATT